CGTAAAATGGCTTAGAGCCCATGCAGCGCATCTTCTCTAATGGGCCGAGCAGAATGCGTTGCTGCGGTAACCTTGTTAAGGCACGGATTTTTTAGGGTAATGCACTTGGATGCACACATGCCACTCGGGGCACTTAGCAGATTCATTTAGTGTTGACAAATCCATTCATAATACATATGCGGGTGGGCGGGTGGGGGGTGGGGGGGAATTTATACAGAAGCAAACGCAATGGAAATGTTGGTGTGTGCGGGTTTACTTTTTCCGCCACCCTTGATGCCGCCGGAGGGAAGGGCACGCATGCACAAAGCCTGCGTGTAACACTCCCATGCGTCAAGGGGCCAACATCAAGGTTAGCTACAGAATTACGTCCGTGGCAGTGAGGAATCCGCACACTCACTGCTGATCACCGACAACAGCAGCAGCAGCAGCAGCTCACCTTCTGTTTTTTTTTCCTCCCCGAAGCGAATTGGATGTGATTTTCAAAGTGGAATGAACCTAAACACGTGGCCGCGGACAGCCAGATAAACGTCGTACTCTGATTGTAAATGTTGCGGCTTGGCTCTCCAACACACCGGCGTACTCTGCTAGTGACGAATTGGCCACGTTCTGTTTACGTGACAAACCTTACAAATTGTCTGTGTCGGGTGGTGGCGGGTTTAACGACACATTTATATATTTACGCGATCTAACCCCCCCAAAAAAACTCATTTATGGATGATATTGGTCGCGAAAGCCTCATACGTGTTAAACTATATTAATATCGAGTACCAAAGTAGCATATCTGACTCGCCGGGGGTGGGGGGTGGCGGGGGTGGCTGACGTGTGTGTGTATATATCGGCGGGCATACGAAGTGGTCGGGCGCGTGAACGTCTGTGTTACTAGATGACACCGCCACGTGTGTTTGTGTGCAGCAAGTGGGTCGCTGGACAGCAAGAATGGCGAACCGCTTGAACCGTTGCGCACTGCTGCACGGGGCAATGGCCGCCGTGGAGGTGCGCGAGATTTAGGACGCGTTATTGGGTGCGGCAAAGGTCTGATTTGTGAACATCTATCGCAAATTGCAGCGCACATGCTGGGTGGTTAATTGGTCCGGGCGGTTATTTATATATTAACGGGCAGATAAGCGACGTTGTGCTGCGTTACCTATCAACGATTTTATATATATACAGTATACAATTTAACAGAGCACTTGGTTTGTTTCACATCGTCACGTGCTATCCACTAAAGCACGCGCTACCTTGATTAACTTTTTAGAAAGAAGGAAAAAAACAACAACAGACTTAAGGTGTTGTGATGTTATCTAAATCCCACAGTGACTGGGACTTAAATGAAATGGAGCGTATTTGCTCAACCTTGACCCTTTCCATTCACGAGCTTTGTTCTCTTGACGACCGCGTGTCTTGTATAATTTATTTCCCCACAGATGCTTTCCGAAGCCACCAGCGGATGGTTTTAACCCCGTCAAAAAAAAACACCCTAAAAAAAACCCACACGTGACTCATCCGCGCGACAGACAGAACCCGACGTTTTCACGGATGCTCATCAAGTGATGCACGCCCCTCGCACACGAAGGAGACGAATGTGTTTAAAGTCCAACGTGTGCAGGCATTCGTCGTGGGTTCAGTGCAGAGTTCAGGCTTGAGCAACATTCGTAATTCAGTGCAATATATAAAATCATGTCCTGTGATATTCCCTTACAGAAGGATTATGATGCAATTTGCATCATTCACCGAAGTGTGCTTTGATGATTTTTTTGCAATGTATTTTGAGAAAACATATGAAATTCTTACCAAATATTTAATTTTCTGTATATATATTTTGTAATACGAGAATAACCAAAAATAGTCATGTAAAGCTCATTGTCAATCCAACTGCTGGATGGAGGCCTCTCACTAAGCCGTATTGTTGGTACTCTTTGGTTCTATTGGGTAAAGTCACGTAGGTAAAAAATAAAATAACAAAAATCACGACGTTTCGGCTACAACACAAGCGGCCTTCATCAGGTGAAGGGACGAGACTGTCTGGAGGACAGCGCTGGAGTGAAAAAAGCCACGTTCAGATCACGACCTTTAAGCTTTTTTTCACTCCAGCGCTGTCCTCCAGACAGTCTCGTCCCTTCACCTGATGAAGGCCGCTTGTGTTGTGGCCGAAACGTCGTGATTTTTGTTATTTTATTTTTTACCTACGTGACTTTACCCAATAGAACCAAAGAGTATGGATCCTAGCAGTCACGAAAGCTTTAAATCTAGAATCGTGTTGTTGGTCTTGGGGGTTGTTGGATCACACTTCACAAGACAAGACAACGCATGATGGTGAGGGAAGAACCAAGGGCCGCTTTAGATATCACTTGCCACTGATGTTAGCCGTGTTCTAGAACAAGACTCAGGTCGCTAGGTTCACAGCACGGTGCCACAACCACTTTACATGTGTATATATCGTTACTGTACAGCCCTTTTTGCTAATCCACTGGCTGATCGAAGGCCTCCCCACACCGTGCGAGTCACGGGCGTTGTTTGACCATACTTCACCACGCTGGTCAGTGCGAGTTAGTGAAGGTGGGGAGCGAGAGACAAAGCATCACAATGTTGCCCCAGAACCTCTGACGCCCGTTTTATACACGATGGTCACCCATCCATGCGCTATCATGGCTCCATCCTGCTTAGCTTCCGAGCGAGATCCGTTGAGATCGGGTGCATTGCGAGTGATTTGTTCAAACGCGATGCAACGATATAAAACAACTGAAATAATATACTTGTGGATGTAGATCGCACACTACGGCATCAGAGTCGAGTGGATGCCCAGTTTGGATTACACGCGTGTGATGATTGGAGTGTAGGGAGAAGTCCTTGCTTTCTCTAGGGACATCGCACGTCTGTCTGTACGCAGAGAAGTGCAAACACCGCGGTGAAATGAAGCCAACGCTAGGGTTATAAAGTACTTTGGGCAAAATGACCCACAGTGGCACATGACTCACGTATTATTGATGAGAAGTTTCCACGTGAACGACTGGATTATGCTGCGAGGACAAAACCAAACACAGAAACATAATCTTAATGTCCATGATATAATGTGGGATTGGTGGCACACGCCTGCAATTCAGTGCTTTGGAGTTCAAGGGTTGGTGGACCATATAGGTTGTGTGAATACTCAAACATTCGGGGTTGGTCAGGAGATTACAGTACACCAATTGGGATTGTAAACCCATCTGTGCGCGATAACCTCACATGTTTTTTTTTTCTATAGGTAATCTGGCTTCCTCGTGCACACGCAAAATATTAATAAAATATATAATTGCCCGAATATTGCAATATAAGACTCTCCTGCAAAAAAGATTCCTCATTCTGTAACTCAGTGAAGCTTTGTTGGATAAATGAATAATGTAAAATTCCTCAAGGCTACTAGATCCCATGGGATATATATTTAACAGACTCCTACAAAAGCCAAATTGAAGCAGTGAAGGGCTCTTCCTGACCAAAGGAGATTATGAAGCTGAGTGATGTTAAATGACTGAGCCATCGTGAGCGAAGATTAGATTCCACGTGTCTTGCGGGAGGACTCTCATACGTCATCATCACAGGCACGCGTTAGACACATTTTTTTCGCGTCCACATTCTATGCCATCCTTTATTACTCTCTTCAAGCTAATTGCTCCGACCACTTTTGGTTTATTGCTGCGGGGAAAAAAAAAACATGCCGTCCTGTAGCGCCGGCTCCGAACATAATCGGAGCCTTTGTGGAGTGGTAGTGCCAGTCTCCTGGTGAAACTTCCCACAGCCGCTGTGTTTTTGCTAATGAAATCAGAACAAGCTGAGGAGCACGGCATGCCAAAACGTCGAATTTTGGCAGTGAGTATTTTACCTTAATTAGTAAAAAAAACAGAAAGGAAAGAGGGACGGCCTTCAAGGGACACATCGGAGTGAAGAGGAAACATAATTTAACAGAAACATACGTTTCTCTGTGTATGAGGATGTTTGAAATGGCTCGTTCAATTTGATTAATTTCAATAATATTTGTGGAGAAATATGAAGCAAAAGCGGATGTGGTGGAGTGAGCTATAGCATGTGGAGGCATTCATCGAGGAGTGGATTGAGAATACATTATTTTTGCATGTGGACATCAGACAGCTAGATGGATAGCCTCCGTGTGTTCGTTGTTCACCATAGAGCCATTTTGCATATGTTTGACAATGCCATTCCCACAACCAGGATATTACAGAGAGCATGCTGTATGTTGTAAAGTGGACGTAGATCATGAAAGAATTAGGTTATTTTGTGGGCTAACTTAAATGAAACTTGTAAAAAAATATTCGGGACTAAGTTACAAAAAAAGACTGTAGAGTTATCTAAGGTCATCCAGTTCACCCTTGTAAAAAAAACGAAAGGTCACCAAACTAATGTGTTTTAAACAAGGACATGTTTCATAAATGTTGCACAAACAACGAGCAGTGGCGTAAATGCACATTTTTAATAACCACACCAGAGGAATATTTGGTAGTAGGAAAACACTTTAGGTCAAAGCCCTTTTCCTCAACAGGCAGAGGACAGAGAGATCGACCGACTCAAGAAAAAAACTCGTGAAAATTTAGGGTGAACGGCTTTCAATCGGCAAATTAGCAAATTTTCCAGTAAAGTGGGCCCTTCATTCCAAACCCCGTAAATGCACTCATGTTCCGTGTCTACCGACGCCTCCGGCCCCCGATTACACACGCGGTATCCGCGTGTCTGATACCCGCTAATGACCAGATTACACACGGCTGATGTGGACAAGGCTACCTCCACCCCACCCACCCTGCTGCCATCTGCTCACGCCGCTCATCCCATCAGGAGCTCTCCACCCTCACGAGTCGACCCGGCATCACTGCCTCCTTGCCCAAAGCCCCCCCCCCCCAAACCAGGCTACCATAGCGGCAGGCACTTGCTGCTAATGCTACTGCTGCTGTGCGGGGAGGGTGTACGTCGGGGAAGTGCTGTGGCGGCTTGGTTGGCTGGGGTTAGGGTGGGGAGGTCGGGGCAGGGAGGAGTGGGGTGGTGGTGGTGGGATGTGGCAGACGCTGTGGGGTGGAGCTGCTTTCTCTTCTCTCCGAGCCTCGCAACTTGACTTCTGGTACAGTAGGAGCGCTGGCCATACATACACGCACGCGCGAGGGGTATCTGCCGTCTTGTACGTAGGGATTCGCCGGGGAGCAGCGGTAGGTACGAGGCGGTGTTGTGTGCGCGCTCCCCTTTTGTGCCTCGCGGCTCGCGGTGTTGGCTGCCCGAATTTTTGAGATCCCTGCCTCGGGAGTTTGTTCACGCCCACGCAGAGCGAGTCAAGGTAAGAGGGCTGCCGGCCTCTTCACTCTGTGATAGAATAAAATTGAGAGGTACCTTGCTTTGCCATGCCTTGCCTGCCTGAGTGCCTGCTGGAATTCTTTCAATTAACGGTGGACGAAGGATGGAACACACGCGCGACGTTTGTCAAGACACGTTGTGCTAAGCGGGCTGTTTCGTGGGAAATACTGTGTTGAGAAATATGTAGACACGTGTATGTATGAATAAAGGTATTTCACGTCTCGTATGAATGCTTTACAATCTACGTTACAATGGAATGTGAAAATGGCCCTTCGGTTATGTGAATGAAAACAGCTCTTCCAATTCATTACGAGTGGCTTTTGGATAATTTCAAATGTGTGTTTTCAGCTTTTCAGAAATGTATATTTCAAAGAAGTTAACGTGATTTCCCTGTTCACGTGAGCACTGAGGTATTTAGTGCGCTTCTGTTTACAGGCATATGGCAGCGGCGAAGTCTATTCACAGAACAACCGCGGTTGACTTCCTCCCAAAGTGGTTCTCGTTTTATCAACTACAGATGGATGATGGGCCGAATCAACCCCGGACTATAGATTTGAACTCGAAAACTTCCAATTGCGTACCGCTCGATGTGCCGCTGAGCCAGCCACCGTTCCATAGCGACACCTGGTTGGAAAGGAAGCTCGTAAAAGTATTCTTGATTTATATATCATTAAATAGACCGTGTTTAATAACTTGAGAAGCCTACACAAGTGTTCACAACAGCAGGGAACTCTTGGAAAAAGAACACATGTCTTTCCTTCCAGCAGGATGTTACGCATTGCTCATAATAACAAGCAGGGGCTTTCATTGCAAATGTGTTTAATAAAGTATTACGTGGAACTTCTTTCGCACCGTACGTAGCCAACCGTGCTAACCGTAGGTGCGTATATGTGTGTGTGTGCCGGCGAATATGCGTCAAGATGTATAGAGGTTTCCATGATCCGCACGGTTTGGTATAAATGGCTCTGGGCGCTCACGAAAATGATGCATTCATGCTGTGGTGGTGAGGGGGGGGGGCTCTCTCAGGGGCATGTGTAGAGCAGGGAAACCCAGAGCAGTCGAGGTGGTCTCTGGGTCTGACTAAGCCCTGTCTGGCTCGTCACGGCCTCGAAGGCCGTGCCTGGCCGCGTGCCAACCAAGCCAGAGCACCCTTCGCTAATGGGCACGGACACAACAGCGCAGGGCACGCCGGTCCCGCATTAAGCGAACAAACGGCACCGGCCCTAATCGTGGCAAACACAACGGCGGTTGTTTTTGTACTTTGTATTGGTAGAGGATCCATTCTTTTTTTTGGCGCCGCTCCTCCTCCTCCCGCCCTGCTTCACACCGCCCTCGGCGCGTCCTTTCGCTCGCAAAAGTCTGGGGGGGGTTGGGGGTCTCTCTTCGTCGAACGCGCGACGGTGTTGTATGCCTCGAGGGACGGGGGCGAGCTGGGCTCTCCTTGCAATCCGCGTGTTCGTCACCGCCCGCGCGCTCTACAGTGCTCTGAGTTCTGCGTCGCTGATCTGGAATGCGTGTACGACAAGTCCCCCCCCCCGCCTCCACCCATCTCCCCACAGCCATGCATTTAAAGTGGCTTTGTATTAGCAGCCGTGCCCACCTCGCAACGACGATGACCCATGAGCGGTGGTGGTGGCGGCGGCGGTGGTGGGAGGCGAGAGCCAGGACCGTTAATTAGATTGAGCGGCCGTTCGCCCGCCTCCCCCCTTAAGAGTTGTCGTATACGCGGCTGGTGGCCGTTGTATGATGCTGCTGCTGCTGCTGTCACTGCGTTCGTTACGTGAGCGTCAATCTAATAGCACGCCGTCTTCTTTTTAGAGCACTCTGCATTGTCCCGCGAATTCGCGTGGGCGTGCGTTAGGGACTCGCAAGGAAAAGCGACGGGACGTGATTTAATTTTCTGCACTTCATTTATGGTCACAGGACGCTTTTGTAAATTTTATGGTTTTCTCGAGATGAACTTTAGCCTTTAGTAAACTTGAACTCGACTGCTGTGAGACTGTACGGGACAACATCGTAATGCGTTTGTCATGAAGTCCTCGTGCAAATGTTTTGAATTTGCATGCACGTAATTTGAGTACAAGATGATAGCAAAAAGAAAACTTTTTTAACGTCACTATGTTAGTTACATTTTACAGATTTATGGAAGGGTTTATGGTGTGTCTTGGGGCCGTTTCATTGGATAGAAGTTCAACATGCATACATAGCTACAAGATTTTAAGTTTTTTACTCAACTTTTGCTCTCAGTTTCTGAAAAATCTCCTAGTGCGTGGGAGTGAAACGTCGGACATAACGCTGAACCAGCATGCGGCACGACCCGTAAACACATTGGGACAGCTATGCAGCTCGACGCGCCAAAACCCACGCCCCCCTATTTCTCCTTCACATTTTAGATTTTTTTTTTAAACACCACGTTGGCGACACGCCCAATTGTGGTCACAGCAACGTTGCTCCTCCCCCCCCCCAACAATCTGACGAAGAGAAACGTCTGACCAACAAATCAATCGGGCCCCGTACTGCCGAACGTTCACCAAAAAGGAGGCAATGTGACAAACACACCACCTTGATGACGACCATGACACAGCAACAGCAGCAGCAGAAACGCAGATTCGGTGTAAAGGGCACACCACGCACACGGAGCACGTTGCACGCAGCAGGAGACAATCATCTTCTTATGAGTCTCTACAGACGTCGACACTGAATCGTGGAAATTCGCCGCGCGACAATAAGACCCATTCAGCCTGCTGGGCTTTTGGAGGTCTGCGTCGATCAAACGCCGGATGTGTTTGCGCGCGTGTGCGTGGCTCACGGTTCCTGATGGTTGCCGTTAATGATCGTAGTTGCACGACTACCTGCCAACTTGGATTCGCTCACCTGGTGGAGGTGTGGCGCTTAATCCGCGGTTTCCATTGTCCTCCTGGGTACAGGTGCGTCCTGATTGTCATCGCTTTTTCGCACCCGCAAGCTCGAGTGGGGTTTATTTTATTGTTTTTTTATACTTCTGGCTGGTGAAATAGAATGACGATTACTCAAGCACGCACCGTAATAGCTTATGCAAGTGAAGATTATAGGTTTGTTCTGGTTGAATAGCTGCAGGTTGTAATTAAGCCATTTTTGAAAGGCGTTATTCATCTGACTTACATCGAGGAACCGTGAGAGAAGGAGACGACTTTGGGAGGCCTTCATCCAGCAGTGGATCGATCGTGGCTGACGATAATTGGTCTGAAATGGCAATGCAATAAGACATGTTCAATTAAGCCTTAATCATATTTATTGTGTATAATCTTCAAAACTATTGTCAAACCTCAACTGCAGAAAACTAAATAATAATGATTATTTACAGTCTGTTGAAAATCCACTACTTGATGAAGGCCTCACCGTGCTGTATCGGTGATGGGGTTGTTTTGCCATACTTCACCATGCTGGGTAGTCCGGCTTGGGGCAGGAGGTGCCTGGGTTCAGTTTCAGATATCACTCGCCAATGATGTTAGGTGTGGTCGGGAATCAAACTCAGGTCTGCAGCACGTTTTCTCCCAAAAATCAGAAGAACCCAAACATTGGCAATAAGCCAATCGGGTTCATATTGTCTAATGTTTGCAAATAAGCTCCTGAAAAATGCCGCAGTTCAGTGCACCAACCACTATGCCATTGCGGCCTCCACTGACTTAATAGGCAGCACTAAGGACTACCACATGACCCCATTATAAATTATATTTCTGCGCCAGTGCACCCATCCGATTTCCATGACTGTATTTTTAGGCGAATGCAAGCCGAAATAAATCGATGAAAATGCGCGAGGACTTAAATTTTTAATGCACCTTTCACCGAAGAACGCGAGCATCTGTTCGATTACATGCTTACGCGTGCACACACACACACGATGTATTTCGCCGCCACTAATTGCAGGTATCCTCTGTCATGTGCGGCAGAACGCTGTAGCGCGTTCAGGTCGGGTACAACAGGAATCCTAGCACTCCTTAAGTGCCTGCTACATAACAAGCTCAGATGCATTCCAGTTTCAAAGTGGCTATCAGGAAGCCTGATCGAAATAAAAAAATGCTTAGGCCCAAGAGGGCCTCCCAGACTCACTATAGCTTGGGCCACTCCGAAAATAAACCACAGGGGCACGGGGGGTTGTGTGGGCGCATTGCTCTCTTTGCGTAAATCGAGCTGCGAACGCGTTCGTCTTCCAGCTGGTGATGTCACTGCATGCAAGTGTCTCGCTCATTCCGTGTGACTTTTGAACCGGTGGCAATTAGATTATGTCATCTTCCCACGCGTGTCCATGTCACTCGGTTGAGTCTGATGAACCTCATATTTATCTGCTTGTGATTATAGACTGCACTTGCGAAGAACGAAACCCCCCACCCAAAATTAGCATTTCATATACGTGGCAATTTTAAGGTGTGCCAATTAATGGCTATGTTTAAACGAGACCATTTACAGTGGAAATTGCTCAATTATGTTTTCCTGCCATTACGCTAACTGGCACGTAACTCCCTTCTTTGACTAGAACATATTTCTGAGCAATAGATGCCTAGAATGGGTCATTTAAATGATTATACGACATTTTCTATCAAGCACAATACGTTACATTGCAACACGTTAATTCAAAAGTCACAATTTAGCGTATTACTGGAGTAAATTGATTTTTTTTTCCCTGTGGTTCAAATAAGATGCAATTTTTGGATTTAAACAACATCCAAAAATGCAAGCGCTATCTCAAGATGTTGTACATAAGAAGGGAAAAACACTGGGGACATAATTAATCTATAGAGAGAAATGGCCCTTGGGTTATAAGCAGAGACACAACACAAGGACAGTGTTGAAACTGAACTTGAACAGGGACAGGGAGTCG